CCTGCTGCCTTTTGTGTCTGCATGAAATTCCAATACCTGGAATTCAAGGTCCTCCAGAATCTGCTTCTAACTTTACTTTATTGGTCTTGCTCTTGAGTTGGAATCTCCTCCATCAACAAGCTAATCTTTTAATTCCCCCTTACACACACCATATTAGCATTCTTTTTCATAAAAGTCTTATTTATGGTCATTTGGTTTTCAGCTTCATGACGTGTTGTGTTGTTTCTTGCTTTTGGTTTTGTGGTTTTGTTTTTTTTCACTTACTGCAATTCCTTGCAGAACATATTGGGACATGGAGATAGGTCATTTATTTAAAGACTAAATGGACTTCTCCCTATAGCTCTATACATATTCGTAGCAAGTTCTCCTTTGACTTTTGGATTACTTTAAGGATTTGAGTATTATATACAATATTTGTGTGTGTGTGTTTTGTATACTTGTGAATACACCCGAACAATGCATTCTTAAGAATAGAATATGCATGCTTTATTTTGTTACATATTAATGTTGAACCCCTAACCGGCCTCCCCCAGAAACTTACAGGATTGTTTGGCACCGCCCACATCTTCGTTCTGACACAGGATGGGGGTGAATGTGTTCCATAGCTCCATGGACTAATGGCTCGGGCTGTTCAGCACCCAATAGCAGTTACCAAGGGCTGCATGGACCTCTCAAAATCAAGGTTCTATTTGTATGGAATTCAGAAAGGGATTAAAATTGTAGAGATGCATTTAGTTTGGCTGTAATAGCAATATCTCCTCTAATGGTGTTGCATGAAATTTGACGTTTAGATATTTTGAATGTAACAGACTAGATATGCACCTGGCAGAGAGCCCTTGGAGGGAAGGGTCAAAGACAACCCACCAGGAGAAGTGCAAAGTGCACTGGCAGCAAACATCTGTCAGGCAGCCTTGGGTGTGGGGCCACTGGGCCTCCACAGCCTGTGCTCAGCTGGAGGGAAAGCTGGGAGCTATCAGCCAGCTGCTGGGCTCACTCCAGCCAGGAGGGTCCAGAGAGCCAAGTCTTGGCAGGTGGTGACCCATAAAGAGGACCATCCTGTTGAAGGCAGGGGATGGTCAGGCAGAAGCTGCAGGTGGCATTAGAAATCAGCTGTCATTATCAACATGGCTCCAGGACCAGTCAGGCCTGGTAGGATAGTAGTTTTCAGGCTTGGCTACTTGTTGAAATCACATGGGAAGTTTTAAAAGTTCTGATGCCAATTTCTATTCCCATTTGTTGTGCAATAACCCCAATCCCCTCAAATGCCACCAAATAATCTGAGTCACATGTATTCTCAACACAGTCCTTTTAGCTCTATTTGGTTTCTGCCAACTTCTTCCTCTCCTGCTGTCCGATCCCATGAGCAAATAGCCTGGGAATTGTCCTGTGCAGATTACCAGAGTGGCCAATGCCAGCCTGAGGAAGACCCTAGTTCTTGCCATCAGTGGGGAAGTTTCTCCCACTTGCCAGTCCAGCGGAGATTCAGGTGTGCAGCCTGGAGCTCAGACAGGGCAAAGGCGTGTTTTAAAAAGCTTCCCAGGCCACATCATATGCGATCCAGGCTGAGAACAGTGTGGTGGGACCACAGCCAGGGCAGGCACACTGACACCAGCCTCCTGCACCAAGGCCCAACAAACAGGGCAGGACAGTCCTTAGCCCCAGTACTGGGAACACAGGCAAAGTGAAGAAGACAGAAGCCAACTGTAGAGACTCAGTTACCCTGCAGTAAAGGCTGCACAGTGCAGGGAGACAGAGCTGCCCAGGGTCTCCCCAGAGACCACACAGCAAGATTAACTGCAGAGCCTGGTTCACACTGCTAATGGAATTCCTTTGGTAAGGGCTGCAGGTGGCAGGGCATCATGCCTGGAGGAGGGACTAGAGGAAATCAGTCGTGGCCTCCTCCTTTTCTAATAATTGTATCCATCCTAGGTAAGCAGACCAAGGCAGGCCAGCAGCTCCCCCCTGGGGATTTCAGCCAGGTCCACAGGCAACTCACCTGCCTTTTTCTTTAGGTCCACTTTTAGTCTAGATTTAAATGCTGAGGATTTTAATAGTATAAAATATTATTATCCATATTTATATACTTTTTTCTTTTATCAAACTTTGTATTTTATAAATTTAGGAATGGTCTATGAGCAGTTCAAAAGCATTTCTGGTAGCATATCAAAATTTATTAGAGAGTTTATACCAAAATAGATGTAGACCTTCAGCCTGAATTCCCTTTGGTGTTGGTAATAACTTTTATTGTAAAATAGAGGTCGATAAATAATTGCAAAGACATTTTCACAGGGAAAAAGAATTTATAGATCTGTATTATTGTTTTAACTGTATTCATGTTGTACTTTGGAGGTAAATAGATATTATGATTTATTTTTTAAGTTACCATGAATTAAGGAACAGCATTTCTCAGAGAAACAAAAATCATTTAGTTAGGCATGATTTCAGGTTTTCCTTTCTTGATTTTTTGTTCTTATAATAATTGTGAAGATGTCCAAAGTTCCACATTTAAAAACAAAACAAAACAAAGCTGTAAAGTATTTGTGAAGACGACAGAGGGGAGGTGACAGAGATCAGTGACAGAACTGTGTTTGTTTCCACTCCCACTGGCTCTGCCATAACCTTGACTTTCCTCAGATTCCTCCAAATACTGGAGCCCCGTGCTGGGCGCAGCCTGCTCAGTCTATACCCTGTTCTGTGGCTCTTTGCCTTTCCTCTTTATCCAGTAAGAGAACATCCTCAGAATCGCCGGCATTCCAGCCCTGCCCACGCTCCCATGTGCTAGACAAGTCCCCAGCGCTTGCCAACATGTGCGTGCTCTCCTTGGCCTGCTCTGCCTCAACCTCTGTCTGGCTGCATGTCCCATCCTCCACTGGCCCCAGGGTGATGGCAGGCAGCCTGGGGCCCTGCCTGCCTGAGTTAGGAGGTGGGTAAGTGAGAGAGTGGACCTGCCCTGAGGGCCCTTGGAACCCATTGTCACCTCTCTCCCACTGCTCCTTGGTTTTAAACTTTAGACTCAAGCCCGCCCTCCTCACTTGATTTAAAATAGTGGTGAATCCAGGGCAACACAGCTTCCAGCCAGAGACTGAGCTGTAAGTTACTGTTTGCTGAGTGGCCTTAGAAGGGTCCTGGGACCGTGCAGACTGATGATATTGACCCTATTTCATCATAGAACTGCAGTGGTGACTTGGTGTGTGTGCCCAGGGCACCCAGGGCACCTACGTTAGCAGGCCCAGAACAACCTGGGGTGCTAGACAAAGGTGTGAGACTGCAATGATGTGTGACGCCACAGGCCACGTGTTGAGCCTAGCAGGCATTTAGGGTTACCAGCAGGGACCAAATGAGACCTTGTCCAACCTTTACCTGCTGGGGCTGACAGTCTGCCCTGAGAACCTGTGTGTGACAAGTACCACACACTCACAAATAAAGGTCAGACAGAAGCCTAAAAAGGTCTGTGCAAGAAGAGCCCTGAAAGGGTCACTATTTTAGAAATGCACATTAGACAGAGTCCAGGCTCAGAAACAGCACAGCCCAGAACCACCACAGGGAGGCGCCATCCAGAGTGCTCACTAGTGTCCTAGGGGCCCAGTGTGAGCAGGGGCCTGATGGGGCTCTGGGAGGGGAGGAGCAGAGTGGCCCCAGGAGGCACAGGAGGGAGGTGAGCCCAAGCACTCACACACAGCCACGGGCTGTACCTGTGGTTGCCAGAGGAACGGGTCTTGGGAGTACACCCTAAGAGGGCAAAGCCCAACTCCCAAAGAGGCTGCTTTCTCCTGGGAAACAGATGGATTTTAAAAAATCTGCACCCTTGCAATAAGTGCCATTATGGGAGCAAAAGCAGCCAGGAGGGGAGCAGGCCCAGCCTGGGTGATCAACAGGGTGTCAAAATTCAAGCCTTCGCTGGGCGCAGTAGTGCACATGGGAGGCTGAGGCAAGAGGATCAAGAGCTCAAAGCCAGCCTCAGCAAAAGCAAGGCACTAAGCGACTCAGTGAGACCCTGTCTCTAAATAAAATCCAAAATCGGGCTAGGGATGTGGCTCAGGGGTCGAGGGCCCCTGAGTTCAAACCCTGGTACCCACAAAAAAAAAAAAGAAAAGAAAAATTCAAGCCTTCAAGACTTGGTCCAGCCTTCAGGGAGATCACTGGAGGGACTGAGGTGGCAGAAGGAGAAGGGTGGGGAGAGACAGCACTTTAAGATCACTGTAACGGGCAAGCAAGGCCTGGGCAGTTTGATTTAGGATGGAGGAGGTGAGACAGAGGCGAGAATGAATAGACGGCATCTGCAGCTGCAGCCTGTTAGCTTTTTTTTTTTTTTTTTGTACAAACGTGGTTCAATCCAGAATGTATTGAAAAAAAAAAAATAAAGACTATTACTCAAATACAACACAATTTTTCTTATTTGAAATTTTCACTGGCTTTGCTGATGAGCTCCCTTGGTTCCATCAAAATAGAAATGTAGGACAGATGCCTTGTTTTGAGTAATCCAGACCCTCCAGTGCCTTGGCCACGGCCTCTGGAGCAGCTCGGGGCAGCGCCGCTCTGCACCCAGCACATGAAGAGGGTTTTGTGCTCATTTCCTCCCCATCTGCAAGGGCAACAGTGACTCTGTCTTCTCCCCCTGCCGTCCTCTTTGACTGTTGTGTTGTTTCATTTACACAACAAAAAACGTAGATTAGAATCAACCCTTTATTTCAACAGTAGAGAAAGAATTATTTTGTTAATTGGTATATTGGTATCCCAAGAACTGCTTACTGTGCCAAGTTATTAAGAATAAGCAGACGAGGGGCAGATTAAACTTTGAATCACCTGTTCCTTTGGGCAAAACACATAAACCAAATTGACTGCAACCAAATGTCATATTATTTACATGGCGTGCACAATTTATTTTCTAAAAATGTGCTCAACAAAAGATTTGAATTTGCTCTTAAGCACATAATGGATCCCACTTAATAGCAAAGCTCTCTTATATGCCCTTCGCTATAATTAAATCATATGGAAAAATGTCACAAAGCAAAATAAAATGTATTTATTTCAGCCATATCTTCCCACAGCATGACATGAAGTCTGAAAAAAAGAATCACTAAGCATTTTTATGCCATCTGTGCTGGTAGGGGATAGGTTTCCCAAGCATGTCACTGTAAAATATTCCATTTTAGGTTAAGCATAGTCTACATACTACTATCTGGTGTCTGACTGAAAGGGTACAAAAAGTTGACAAAAATACAGATCTGACACAATATTTTTTCTTTTCTTATTGTTTTGTAACAAGACTAGTCAACCATGTTCTTTAAACTGAACTTAAATTTTAACTCTAAAATAGAGATGAAACATGAGAAAATCAGATTCATGTTAAAGATTTCTAAGCTTTTTCATCAGAAAAGAAATTCTAATAATGACTCCCAAAAATTGAAATCACAGCTCCTCCTGAGCAGGGTGTGTGTCAACGTGACAATGCGGCTAACAGTGAGCACTCCCTGGCCTGAGGGTCCCTGCCATTCGTTGTTCCCCTTAGCTTACAAAGCATGACGCTCAGTCCATTCCGATGCCTGTCTTCCTAAAGGAGGCAACCCAAGGGTTGTGCTGGCCGTTATTATGACTAAGCTTTATGACTACTTATAGGAGTTTTTATTTCCTGTATTCAACAAGGCCTTTTTACAGTTGTTGATGAGACGTGAAAATCCTGTCCGTTTTTCAGAGACCCACTCGACTGACTCAGAAGTGCCAGAGGCCTGCAGCTCACACAGCCATGAGTAGTGCTGGTCTGCCCCTCCTTCTGAGGGTTCCCAAGTTGGCATACGCCCTGGCATTGTTTGGAGACACAAGTGAATAACAGAGTGTTAGTTTACAGATGAAAAGTTCTTCTACCTCCTTCTACTTGTGAATCTTCTTAAGTCAACAGCATTCATATTAAAATTTATAAACCTAGAGAAAGTGAACAGATATGATGCGTTTAAATGTAATTTAAGGGCAAATTGTACCATTTTGATCACGATTATATGGAAAAAGCTATGATTTTTCTAAAATAGAAAAAACGTTATAAATGACAAAGTTTGCCATAAAATCAAAGGCTAGGTTTACTTAATACGTTGTCAGAATTCCTCTCAAAACTCCAAAGTTTAAATTTTTCAAGACACTCCTCTTTGTTTAGTTTTTTAAATATTCACTTTTTAATTACCCCATATGACTGTAGATCTTTCTGGGTGCCATGTGATGGTAGGGACATGTAGAGACTGTATAACATTCAAATCAGGTCAAGGACATCTACTCCTCAGTGTTTGTCACTTCTTTGTGGTAAGAACATCCAAAGTCTTCTCTTCTAGCGTGTTGGAAACACACAGTGCGTCATCTGCGTAGTCACCTTACTGTGCCATGGAACTCCCTCCAGCCCTTCTTCATTCTACCCAGCTATCACTCAGCTCCTGTTGACCCGTCTTCCCTGCCCTGCCTGCTGTCCCCAGCCTCTGGGAATCACTTTAACTTCTATGAGATCCATCCTGAGATCCCATATATGGGTGAGATCATGCGGTATCCATCTTTCTGTGCCTGGCTTATTTCACTTAACCTCATGTTCTCCTTATGTCATCACAAATGCCAGGAGAACCCTTTTATGGCTGAACAGTGCTCCATTGTGTTTACAGGCCACATTTTCCTGATCTACTCATCAGTTGATGGATACTTGGTTGATCTCATTTTTTGGAAGTAAACAGTACCGTAATGAATGTGGGAGTGCAGATGTCTCTGATTTCCTTAGGCCACCCAGTTGTGGATTTGCTAGCTCACACTGTGGCTCTATTTTTAATTTTTGAGGGAACTTACACACTATTTTTCATGGTGGTAGCACTAATTTCCTTCCCACCAACCGTGTGCCAGCTCCCTCTCACCAGACCCTTCAGGCTCCTTATTGTCTTTGTTAACGGGCTTTCTGACTGGAGTAATGTGATCTCTCCTGTGGCTGTGATTTGCATTTTCCTGAATATTGGTGACATAGTCTTCTTTTGAGAAACATTCTGTAGGTCTCTTGGTCATTTTTAGCTGAAATTATTTGGGTTTTTTGATGTTTTGTTTGTTGTTTGCTGTTAAGTTCCTTGTATATTCTAGACATTATCACTCCCTTCAAAACCAACCCACTCTCTCCCTAAAGCAATTTTTTACAATAATAGTACATGTCAAAATTATTTAAATGAGACCCAACCTTTTATTATTTCACTAATAATATTTTCATTAAAATTATTGTAGTTACTTTCTCCAGTATTGATCCCATAGCCTCCCAACTGAATGCAGTACTTGTTCCTTTGACATCAAGTTCATAAATTGGTTGTTTTAACATTCCTGTACACTGTCTTTGAACTTGACCTTAAGCGTTCTCTGTGGTGGCTTTGCCCTTTGTGTGACTACAAGTCAAGGTCCATAGCAGGATGTTGGAACAGCCTATGGGAATCAGAAAGGGCACTTGCTTAGGTACTGAATGGATTCTGTCTTAGACCCCTATTTTATTTTAATATCTTTATTTTATTTATTTACTTTTATGTGGTGCTGAGTATCTAACCCAGTGCCTCACATGTGCTAGGCGAGTGCTCTACCGCTAAGCCACAACCCCAGCCCCTTAAACCTCTATTTTAATTTTAAAAACAAACAAACCTGAGTATGACCACAACTAAATTAAAACATTACTTCCATGAGGCCTCGCTATACTTCCTTATCAGTATAACTATGTCTAAGACTACGCTGCAGTTTTCAATAGAACAAGAGGGAAGACCATCTTTACCAAAAAAGCCCAGAAGTCCATTTCAGAGGTCCGACTTACCCTGTGAGCTCTAGCTGTCCCTTGGCAGGACAGGCGGTCAGGCTGCACATCACCCGTGCTGGAAGCATCCTGCAGGGGGTACTGGTCGCCTACACTGATAATAGATATCTGTGGCTCTTTTCCTCTCTGGACTTGTACAGAGCACTGGAGGTTGTGGTCATAATATTCTAGCACAAAATGTGACTGACTTACAGCCTGGAAGTTTGAAGGTTACTGCCTGACTGCACCAGCTGCAAACGGACTTGACATTGGGCTGAGAGCTGCCTGCTCTACAGCTAATGTGGTGCGATAGCACATGCACTCCTTTCTTCTTTCTTCTGAAACTCAGGAGGAAAGAGGGTAGATATAGTCCCAATTTTGTTATTAATTACCAATTTCTCTGGGAAGCAGCATTGGTTGGAATGAAAGGTTAATCCCAGCTGAGATTTTATTAATAAAAACTGTGGTGACTGGGACATACTGTGTTCCACCCTGAGTTATGATGAAGTTAACCACAGTACATGAATTGAACATGTTTTTCCTGCTGCGATGTAACCCAGGGCCTTGAGCACCAAGGCAAGCACTCTTCCACTGAGCTACACCCAACGGCTGGATCCACCTCTGTACTCAGGAACTTAGTCTAGAGAGGGGAGGAAGCCCCTTCCTCAGCCAGAGGAAGTGTGGCGCTGGTGGCTGCAGGGGCATGTATCGTGATCTTCCAGATGAAATAAAGAGCAGAAGAGCAGGCGTGCAATTGTGCCTCATGATGAGCCACGCAGCTGTGGGAGGGCCACAGGCTGGACACAGTGGCGACTGGCCAGGAACAGTGGAAGGTGTTGGGAACTCGGATTTGGCCCCACTTCAGGCGCTGTGAGCTGTGCTCCAGTGGCAGAGGAATTATCTCATGAGCTCCAGGTTTGAGGATCGCGACTAGGAATTAACATGTGGCAAAGGGCATGCTAGATGTGCTGGAAGGAGCTGACAAGGACTCAGAAGCCACATGCTGTCCAGCAGCTGGGTCGGTAGGGCAGCCGGCGGGCCTTGGGGTTGTGAGAGAGGGCTGCCAGGGTAGAGCACGGCAGACTGGGCAGCTTCAGCAACATCAGTTCCAGAAGTCCAAGGGCAAGGTGCCATCAGGGATGGCTTCCTCTGAGACCTCTCCCCAGCTTGCAGATGGCCACCTTCCTTCTGTGTCCCCGAATGGCTGTCCCTCAGTCTGAGTCCTGTGTCCTCACCTCTTTCTGAAGGGCCCATCCCTCGGCTCCCTTTTGTCTTTTATCAGTCTGTCTCCCAATACAGCCACAGTTGAGGGATGGGAGTTAGGACTTACTCTAGGAATTCTGGAGGAAGGGGGCTCCTATTCAGCCCACACAGGAAAGAAGGCCGTTGTCCTGGGGAGAGGGAGAGGGCAATGGCCACCTGAGACTGCTAATGAAGAAGGACACTTCCCTGTGGAAGCCTTCAGAGAAGGGTCCTGTGCCCGAGCTCTCAACTCCACCAGGCGGCGACCCCGGGTTTCCGTCACCACCCAGAACCCTCTGCTCCCATGGGCACCGCACTGCCCTCCGCCTCGCTCCAGGATGCCTTCCTCTGCTGCGCCCTAGGACCCTCTGCCCCAGGTGACCTCGCCTTGAGTTCCAAGTGTGCTTCTCGCACCTGTGACCTGGAGATCAGTAAAAACACCCTTTAGTGGAGACACTCCTGTGTGCCCGACCTCTGATCCCAGCAGTCACTAGTCACTGTTCAATGTGCACATTCCATGCATCGGGGTTTGTATCCACTTTTCTGAAGCCGACTCTAAGCCTCGCCTCTGACCTACAGGTTGGCTCCTGTTCCTATTTTTTGTTTTTAACCACTTAAACCTTTCTTTGTATTTCTCCTCTCATTCTCCCATTCCTTTTCATTTGTAGCCTGTATCTATCAAGAAATCTCATATTACTTGATAACATCACTCCTAAATGTCAATTCATCAAATAAACTATAGAAGCTAGGCAATTTTACCTCTATTGCAAAGTTCTAAGAAATGATTAGATTTGCTTTTTTTTTCTTTCCTCTTTTTTTAGTGGTAGGATGGAACCCAGACCTCGCACATGGTAGGCTGAACCACACCCAGCCCCAGACTTGCTTTTTGGTGAAACATAAGATAGTTGGTTTAATTTGGTTTGGATGTTTTGAAAGATCAAAAATGCAGGTTCAACCATAATTTTTAAAGCCAAGTAGAACATGTTGGTGACTACGTTAAGAATCCATTCAGTGATAAGTCGTATGGTTGACAAAGCAGTCATTATAATGCAGTGTTGAAAGAATTTTTGAGAAAGATAAAGAAGGCTGACATCCAGTAGTGAAGATAAGAGGAAAATGCGGATCGCAGGAGGAGTTCCACGCAGGAACAACCAGGATGCCTAGAGCGGAGGACGGCTGGCAGCGACCAGCTGTGCCCTGGGCAGTGTATCTCAGCTGCAGTGAGGCATTATTACTGTTCCCATTTCACAAAGGAGAAAACTGAAGTTCAGAGAAGTTAAACCAACAACTTGCCTAAGATCACCCAGTCTGCGGCCCTACAGAAAGGATCTTGTCTGCTCCCAACGGTATATCAATAAAAGCACAATCACTGCTCTTATCAAATGCAGATTGGCCTGGGCAAGAATAACTGTCCCCCAGCTTGTCAGGAGAGGGGGTGAGGCTGTGCGGGGAGCTGCGGCCCTCTGGCAGTGACAGGCAATCCGAGTGACAAAAGGAGAAGAGAGATGCAGACTGAGGAAGGACTCTGCCCTCCTGGAGGAGCTGAGCCCTTGGGTTTTGAGTTCCTTGTTGAACATTGACCACAGCCAGCCCAGAGGGTTAGCCCTGCTCTGAGACACCCCAAGTGTGGGAAAGCAGCTTCCCCATGACAAGGGGGAGGGGTTGGGTAGCCACCACAGACTACCAAGGTGTCATTTTTATTTCAAAATAAATAAGAAGTCCATCAACCTGTCATGCAAAGATAATGGACCTGCCCCAAGTGAGGTTGTACTTGCCCTTGGTCCTCTCCTCAGCCAGGGCCCCAGTAAGTATGCAAATGGCAAAATTATCTTCCAAACACGAGGTATTTTTCATTATGATCCCAGGAAGCTCTCAGCTTCTACGCTTTATTAAGCCACAGTCATCATTTTAGAACAAGGCCATTTGCCTTTTGGAACATACTTAAAATTTACAAAGTGCTTTTTAATGTCTCAAAGTTGTAGCCAGCATCAGAGGATTGCAGTTAACCCTACCTTAATCAGCTGGGAAGATACTACCCCCTCACCCAAAGTAAACTGACCCCAACTTCACACACAATTCTCTAAATAGAAGTAACCAAAAATACAAGAAAGAGAACTGGGCGTTTGTTACTTTAATTGCCAGAAATTACATTTTGCTTAGACATCAGGGTAAACACCAAGCTGCCCCAGAGCATCTCTCTTTGACCCAGGTCACAGGATGATTTTGATTTGTACACACACACACACACACACACACACTCACACACACACACACACTAGCACACTCAATATCTGAGAGTGCCTCCTAATCCTGCACAGTAGGTCTTCTGGGAAGAAGAATGTGGCATACTTTGGTTCTCACAGCTCCCCAGGGGTACAGCGCGCTCTGAGCTTGGGAACGGGAGCAGGCTGCAGGGGACACTCCTAGCCCTAGAACTATGACTTCCCGAAAATCCCAGTCTTCTTTGGGCTCAATCCTAATTTGTAGAACAGAAATTTATATGCCAATTAGATTGCAAAACATTGCCAAACTTTACTGAATCACTTTAATGCTAGGTATGAAAATTAAGGAAATAAAAATGGAAAGAGATCCAAGTACTGAGATATTGTGAATCTGTTTTTAATAGTGAAAAAATGTTAAATGCTCACCTATATGAAAATTATAGAATTTGATTTATAAATAAAATTATATTTTATTCCTATGACGGAAGGTTATGTTGCTATTTAAATGAGTAGAGACTATTTAAGGACATGATAAAATCATCACAATACAAAATTAAGTAAAAAAAAAACAAGGTATAAAAACTTATACAGTGTAGTCTTAACTGTGCATTAGGATGTGTGTTTGGGAGATGTAATCACATGGCAGCTGTGGCTGCTCCTGGGGAGGGTGGTCAGTAGTGATTGTGTTTTTCTCTTTATCCTCTTTGTTTAACGCCTCTTCCATGTGCAATATAATCAGAAGAAGTTACTTTGAAACTAAAAAATAGAGTGATCTAGATTCTCACTAAATTTTTTCACAATTCTAAATATCTATTCCAATTATGAATCAATAAAAAAGTCAAAAATAATAGGTAGCTTTGGAGTTTCCAAAAGCAGTTGCTCCTCAGAATAGAAGCATTAGCCCTGATCTTCCTGACCCAAGGCTAGACTGTGGCTCACTGGATCCCTGGTCACAAAGATGCCATGTCCCGTTTTAGAAACATGACGTTGCTGCTGTCTTCTCCTTGGTGATGTGGTGAGTTTCTCTCTCCCCAGCGTCGCCAGGCTTCCCATCCTGTGCCAGGATCAGGCCGCCCTTCCTTCCTTCAGAATCTTCAGTAATTTTGCTCTCCTATCTGCCACACTTGCATGCCAATTTCGGGTTGGTGGGGTCGTAATTCCGGTTGGTGCTTTCCTTTTAATAAAACCAGAAGCCAGCATGGCACCTCGGCAGGTGTGTGCCAGCTTTCACTTGTATCTGATGGTTCGTGGGAGGGGAGAGTGTCACTGTCAGTTCTCCCACCTGAAGGCCTCGCTGTGTGCTGCGGGCGTGCTGGGTGCTGGGTGCTGGGTGCTGGGACACAAGTGGCCAGCGTTGCTCCCAGGAGTACCTGAAGAGCAACCTGGGCAACCCAGGCAGAAGCTCCAAAGTGCTCAAGCAACAAACGCCTGACTCAGGAGTGTGCAGCCATCCATCTTTCAAGTAGTTCTATTCACCTGGAAACGATCTCTTACGTAAAATATCCTTTTGTGGTTACTATACAGGGTCAAGCTGTTTTCCAGTCTGAGTACAGAGAGAAATTCCGAAATTCTGAATGTGACTTAAAACTTCAGGTTCCCAGCGGCTGGTCATAGGTCGTGGACACTTATCTACTGAATATGAGAAAAGTGCAGAGAGGCACCTAGGAGGCCAGCCGACTCTCGCTGCCTTCAGGCCATCCACACCATGGCCAGTGCCCCCTGGTGAAAGGGGTCTCTGTTTTAAGGGCCATTACAGAAGAATCCCAGACTTCTCCAGAGCTTGTCACCCACCACACTCAGGAGTCACCTCCTGTGTTCTGAGTAACCCTCGCGTAGGGTTTGCCAGGGTCTCCTTTCTCCATTCGCGTTCATGGCAGGAGCAGCGGGGCACCACCTTCCTTGTCCTGGGTGTTGTCGCTCCTGTCACTGCTGCTAATGCTGCTGCTGCCCTGGCACCTCCTCTGGGAGGCACTGCACCTCAAGTGTGCCAGCTACTCCCCACAGCAAAGGCAGGCGGGAGCTCATCTTGCCTTCTGATGGATGGACAAACAGAGGCTCAAAGGACAGCTAGTGAGCGGCAGGACGGAATGCCCCCCGGGTGGGCCAGGCTTTCCTACAAGGCTGTGTCGCTGCATACCTGTGTTGTGCAGTTTGAAACTATTTATTGTCCCTTCCTTCATCTTCACTAGGTGCAATTATCCTAGTCTCTTATCCTGCTTCCTAACCTGTAACTCGGTGCCTGTCGGGAATGGTTACCATCACCCTGGGAGGAAGGGGCACGTCACTGATATTCTCTGCATAGCTGAGATCTGGCCTTCTAAGACAGTTGGGGACAGGAGAGTGAAAGCCTGGGTGACACTGTCAGCTCCCACATTTCTTTGAGGGGCCATCTGGTTGGATGGGGCCAGGGAGGCTCCTCTAGCAGCTGTATTTCAAAGCAATCACGGTTTGCCTGTAGATGATGCATGCATTTGAGTTGGCTTGTAGGGAAGGGGCTGCCTGTGAAGTCAGAGGGCTGTACTTAAAGAATACCCCCGACACCACCAGGCTCCATGCTGTCACTCTTGAGGAGTTGTGGTAACAATTATCCTGATGGAAGGCTCAGAGGGCCTCCAATGGCCCACAGGTTTCCTGACAGCTCTAGGTGTGGGGAAACCCGCTGAACTGTTGCCACAGTTCATCATAGGGAGTGAGAAAGGAGCACATGTGAGTCACAGCGCATGTAAGCGCAAACTGTGCCCTGGCCCATCACACTATGACACATAAAGGAGCACTGAGCCAAGTGAAAGCTGAGCGACACCCTTACAGCAGGAGGGACGTCCCGGCTTCCTGGGGCAGAATCTCCACTGATGGATCCCAGCATTTGGCACTTATAACCCAACACTTCGCTTCCGGGTCATTGTGGAACAGAAGATAAACGGTGCTTTTCATGTTAGGATGTCCAATTTCAGATACTAGACTCATTCCTGGTTTAAAGCACAGTTTGTGTTTCAGTTCTCTAGCCCGTGGCCTGGGTAAAAAGTCTGTTTCAGTTTTTTCTGAGCACTTATCTAATTCAGAGATTTAGGTTTCTAAGTCAAAATAACCTTATTCAAGGAAATCACAACCCATCTGTTAGGAGTAATGGTAAATGTCAGCTGCTGCCTCTTAGCTCCCCCGCCGGCCAGGGCCCCTTTGTGAGCCTGCGTACTGGACAGCCCTCCTTCGCTTGAACAGCCGCGGTGTCTTCGGGCAGCAAGCTGGACACGTGACGTTATTTCCTGGACACAGGGTGATATCGGGCCAGATGTGCCAACACCTCACGGTTCTCTTCCTAGAGTTGTCCAATCTCTAGTCTGTGTCATAAAGGGTGAAACTTCCCTCTACCTAGTCAGTCACACTTTGTCCTGTTAGTGGGGACATAGGGAAGCACCACCAGGCAGAGAGGGTGCGCGCCACAGGCAGCAGGCTCCTGCTCTGTTTCTTTAGATGATCATTTATTTACTCACTTAGTGTTACTGGCCACCCACCAGGCTAAAGGCACTGTCCATGGAGCTGGAAATGAAAAGAGAGAGAGAGAGGAAGGAAAGAGAGAAGAGAGGGAAGCGGGAGGAGTCCAGACAAACTCCTCTCCTCGGGCTGGGGCTGTGACTCCGCGGTAGCGCTGGTCTCACGCGGGGGGCACTGGGCTCCATCTCGGCACCACATAAAAATAAAGAAAGAAAATAAAGATGTTGGGTCCATCTACAGCTAAAAAAATTAAAAAAAGGAAAAACTCCTCTCCTTATGGACACTGCAGTCCTTCCTCTCCAGGAAGGGGTCTTGATGGAGTTCCTGGGGCCTGGTTTCACTGAAGGGAGAAGGTTTTATAAAACATTTCGCCTGGACTTCGCATGCTGGGGAGATAGCAGAAACACATTCTAGCCTGAGAAACTGTGTAAATGGTCTCTGAACTTAAGCAACAATTTGCAGCTGAGACCCACGGCACAGACTGGAGGAGCGACGGGTGTGCCCTGAGAAGTCCAGGACCATGCTTCCTTGGAACACAGCGGACAAGTCAGGAACATCATCACAAGTGTGCACCACTTGGGGGGCGGTTAGGGAGTCGGGTGGGGTTGGCAGGCCAGCCTGGAGCCTATTGCTGAGTCCAAGACAAAAAATAAGAGACGGAACGAGGGCAGCGGTAGAAACTGCGCGGGTGGGACAGTGCAGCCAGTGCCCAGGCAGCATGAGGCAACCAGACGCTGCCAGGTATCCTGTGTCCCTCAGCAGTGAATTGTGGTACCTTCTAAGGGGCCTGGGGAGCGTCCATGTGAAGCCAACCCTGGAAACCTTAAAGTGGGCTCAGATGGACAGGCAGTTTGGGTCAGAAACCCTCTTTTGAGAGACTATGATGGGCGGGGCATAAAAGCATCAGGGAAAACAATTAGGAGAGGGAATTCTGCTGGGAGAGCGACTCGGCCTTGTTCTTCCTCTTCTTCCAAGAGGAATCCCGTCCACAGACCCTGGGCGAGCTTAGGCTCCTCTCAAAGTGCCCTGCATCAGCATGTGCTTCTGTGCCCCGCTTACCCAGTCACCCAGTTCAAGCTCAATACCTTCTTCCCTGCCTGGCTATTTGTCCACCAGAGGCACAAGTCTGCCCATCTCGTTCCCACGGACACTTTAAACAGGCTCACTAGCTGGTGCTTCAGAACAGCTCTGGGGGTCTGTGTTTCCAGGCTCCACAACCCGGACAGACAGTCACACGGAAGGCAGAGGCCTGTCTGGAGCAAGAGGCAGGAGAGGACAGCAGGATCTCCTGTCTCTCCCTCCCTGTTTAGGTGCATCTGAGCGTGGGAAGTACCCATTCTGCCCTTGTCCCCTAGTGACCACACCCCAAGTGGCTGAGGACACTGCCCTCAGCAACAAGCTTGGCTCTCAGCTACTCTTACAGGTGGTGTGGGAGAACTGATTAAGTCATGGCCCTTTGTCTTTCCTCTAGTCTGGAACACAGATGAGAAGGTAGAGGGTCCAGCAGCCACCTTTGGCTATGAATTATGTTGAGACAGAAGACACATTCAGGAAATTTATGTTAAAAAGTAGAAATCTGATTCTCCTACAACTTCATCAAGCCCTTGGACTTGCTAATAGCCACATTGCTTCCTCCCAGCCTTTTTTTTTGCAGAAGAAAATATTAAACATCTGTCTTGCCTAAGCCAGTGTTACACTGGATTCTCTGTACATGCAACCAAACGTGATCGTCCCTGCGGGAAACACTAACGCAGTGTGTGCGTTCCCAGGCTCCCTGGGGTGATGCTCTGAGGACCCAGGCCTGGCTTCTCAATAGTCCCCACAGCAGCCCACAGATGCAACACAGACGAGTGGGAGGACCAGGGCCAGGCCTGATATTTTCAGCATTCTATAATCACTCAGAGTCTTGTGCAATTCAGTCTCTCTGGTGTCTTTTAAATTACCATTCAAAAATAAAGCACTCATGTAATACAAGTGAATTTTGATAAAATTACATGTGACAATTCCTATTTGAGTTGATAGAGCTCTTTCTTTTAAAAAGGCTGCATTTCTTCTGTTCTTATAGAATTAAAGTTTTTACTTTTCATTTGTTACAAGTTGAATTTTCAGGTTGATAAAATATCGTTACAGAGATTCACCACTTGGGACTTAATACCAAAAAAAAAAAAAAAAGCTTAAGTTCTAAATGCTACGTTTCTTCTTTAGAAACGGAGAGGCCCTTTTTTTTTTAATGCAAAAAGCTGTGAGGCTTGGCTGCACGGAAGCTCGTCCCTCTCCTCCAGTGGCTTCATCTTGAGGCTCAAGCATCCACAGGTGCTCCTGCCTGTGAACCCAGACAAAAAGGAAAGCAGCCATGATCATTTGAGCCTTCTGTCTTCACGCCCACAGCATTTACAACTTGCTGAGCCACCTCAGAAGATGAAGCACAGAATCCTCAAAGCCACCAGGTTCAACGCACTCATTTAGTATTCCTAAAAAATATCCATGACTGGCTGCTCTTGAATGGCCTGTTTGTGGCCAGCTCCCATCCAAATTGTGACCTTCTGGAGGGCAGGGTCCATCTCTGAGAGTTCCCCTGACTATCATGGTGGCTTCCACTGTATCGGTTCTACATACTATGCCAGACTACCACATCTACCTTCAAATGACCTTAGCCACGTCTTTGTATCTCAAGACGGTGTCTCACTATGTTGCTTAGGGCCTTGCTAAATTGCTGAGGCTGGCCTTGAATTTGCAATCCTCCTGCCTCAAACTCCTGAGTTTCTGTGATTACAGGTGTGCACCAACACACCCCACTACAAACGACATTTCTGAAGGCCAGACAAGTAGGGTTTCTTGTCTAAGGTCAAGTAACAGGTAGGAACCACCAAGCCTGAGGCTGAACTGCAGTCCTCCATTCTCCCAGCCAGGCTTCCTAAGACACTCCTCAGCACTGAGTACACACTTGGAGGGCTGATGCTGCTTATTCAGGTTGGTCAGAAGGTACCCTGGCTTGGGAGGTCACCCCAAAGATGACATTGCCTTTGACCTTGCTCGTGTTATCCCATGATCAACTCTGATCTCTTCCAGCCATACAGAGATTTTGCAATGGTTCTGTTTTTCCTTTTGCTTCCCCTGTTCTCCCCTCTGACCTGTGCCTCTGTCTAAGAGATGAGCTTTCTGCTCATGATTAGGTTTTTGCTGCCTATTTCCTGGGCACACTTGCTTCCCCAGTGGAAAACTCTAAGGAATCAAATACTCTATCGACACTTTCTCAAAAATGGAAAACATGGTGCCAGGGTTTATTGACAAACATATTTGTTAAAATATCATGGAAGTGTCACAAGATTGTCTCCTAACCACTACTAGCCATGATGACATTTATTCTCTGTACTCAATAATGAATTTGCATTCGTCCCTAAATAGATTATCATAAGATTATAATAAATAGGTCGTGGGAAATGCTACTAAAAAGTCTCACTGGATTTGTATGAGGAGTTTTGCTTTATGGCTTCCAAACACCAAGTCTTTACTCTTGTGAGGAGCTTATTTGGTTCTTCAAGCTTACAGAGGCCCCAAAGCACTATTTCTTTAGGTTGAAACTGTGCTAAAAAAAAAAAAAAAAAAACACATTTTACTTTTTTCTCAAAAATTATTCACAAATTATTAAGAATTTCTGCCTCTCATGGGCGTGTGTGGAAATTCTGTGCATGTTTTCCCTGGTGGGAGTTTTAATTGTCATTTTATACATTTGAAGCCTGGGGCTCTAAGCAGTTCTGTTTTCCCAGGGTCACTGGATGGCAAGTAACAGACCCTGGATAAGCTGAATGCAAAATCTGCATCTCTAACTACAGGTTAGCAGCCTTCCCAGAGTCAAAGCAGCATTAAGTCACTTGGTCAACTGTACGGCCGCCGTGTGGCCCACGTGAGGCAGAGGAGGGCTGAGAGACCCTGGCTCACAGCCCCGGCCTCCCACCCTGCTGCCACGCTGCTGCAGCTGCTGGAGCTGGGTGGGGACTCGAGTGGCCGGCCGCTCAGAAAGCAGATGCCCTCACCATTCTGCCACCACACAGGGGCCGTTTGTGTAAACAAAAGGTTAAAGAATCCTGCTGGAGCCTTTGTAAACAGGAAGCCTCAGAGAACTTTAACCTACACACTAGCATCTCAATGCCACCTACTGGTCCAGATGGCCGCTTGGGGACAGCAGAGGTTCAGGGGCAGCAAAAAGCAGAGCAGAGGCCAGAAATGAAAGAGCCAATTCTCCATTCTTGGGTGAGTCCCCAGAGATGAACACAGTGACCTTGTTCCCACTCAGCTGTCCTGCCCCTCCCCCTCCGGAACACCCCACCCCGGGACTTGCCCCTGGAAATGCACTGGAAATGCACCTTCGTCAGAGCTTGCTGGAGGTGGCAAGAAAAGACACACATCTCCAGCCGGCCCTTTGAGAGATACATTTTGTTGTTGTTTTCCAAACTAAACAGCAGTGTCATTATCACATGAAGCTGCAGTTCGGCTTTTGTTTTCTGGGACTTTTCCCTCATCATTAATCACTCAGTCACGATAAACGAACACTTTTCTAATGCACCCAGGACAACCCGAGTTGCCCTGCCCAGTGTGGACGGAAGGTCTCCCGGACCTGGGAGGTGCTGGGGCTCCCGGGCTGCAGGCTGCACTGGCCCCGGGCGGCCTTGCCCCTGTGGATGGGAAGGAGAGCCCAGGCCATCCTGCCCACCCTCAGAGCTTTACTGCTCCAAGGTGAAGGGCTCTTGGTCAAATTTCCACTCAAATAGGTTCTAGGAATACTCGGGGGGCTGGCCTACCTTCCTCTGGTAGTTTCAGCAGAAAGTGGCCGTTCTTCCAGGCCTGCGCGCTCCACTGTCAGGTAGAGAACCCGCTGCTTCCACCAGGGGCTAAGTGCTTGCTCTTGCTCACTTCTGAAAATTTCTGATTATAAAATTAGTTGATGGATGGAAGTTACTAAAGAAATTTCTAACACTTTTAAGGCTTGGCTTAAGTCCGTAGTTTGTTCCACTTTATTCTTATTTCAGAGAAAACACGATGTAATTCCATCTTACATGGAATGTCTTTCTATCTAAAATCAGTCTAAACAAGGGAGAGTCATTGCCATTTCTTCTTCGGTGGTGACAGTCTCACCACTAATTTCTGGGCTGCTGAAGCAATCACTGGACTCATGGTCATCCCCCCAAAAGGTCTTGGTGTTTTGTGTGGTGTCTGCTTTTAGTACGGCTTTTTTTATATTCAACATGTTTCATTGGAAAGAAAAATTTCAAAGTAATTAGCAAAATTTCAAAAATTCAGATTTAAATATCAACATAGACATTAAATAGTCATTTGTCATGTAAACACGGAGCTTTGACATATCTCATTTAAACTTGACCAGTAAACTTGTGGTGCAAGCACTTATTTTATCTACAAGGAAACTGAAACTGATATATGATGATTGACTGTTTCAAGGTCACAGATTGACAGTGCCATCTAGTATGAGGGTTTTGACCCTGAATCCAAACCACTTTGCAGAAGTGTGGTAAGACCAGAGAGAGAGGGATTCTGCTGGTCCTCAGCAGTGAAGGAAGATTTGTGGAGGAAACAGATCTTGAAGAATGGATAGAGTAGTGTAGAAGATGTAGCCAGGAAACCGAGTGGCAGGTGTATGTGGCATTTCCCACACCTATTTGTTCAACGAGGGAAGAAAGAATGAATGACCAGGGAAGCTGTCGGAGATCAGGAAAGTAATCCAAGAAGGTATGAAGGTAGACCTAGCCCAGGAGTGCGCAGGGGTGATGAGTAGGGCATGCTGGGGTGAGAAGAGATATGCAGGAGGTGGGCCAGGAGGGCACTCTGGAATTGAGGAGGCCCAGGAGGGCATGGAAGGCCAGACTGAGCAGCCTCAACTGCCAGGTAGCTGAGGTCAGGGCTTCATGGCTATTGGCCAAGGAGCAGCATCCTAGAGACGAGACAATGGGAGACCAGTGACAACTTGTAGGAAGCAACTTAACCATATCTTAGGAGATGAGCCGGGCATGGTCAGGAGGGTTGTGATGATCCTGATTTTAAGAAGTTTGACCCTCCCTCTCTGTAAAGCTCTGGTCAACTCTTCCCATTGGTGAGGAGCAGGAGATTTTAAGACCAGCATGGCTGGAAGGGATGAGGAGAAGGAGGGGAATGAAAAGGGAGAGGAAGATGAAGGAGGAGGAGGAGGAGGAGAAGGAAAAGAGAAAGAGGAAGGAGAGGGAGAAGGAGGAGGAAAATAAAAATTGCCTTTAAATTTTCCACCCTTGATTTGTGCCCTAAGACGTCTATTACATTGTCACTCTTTCCAGTAGGGCTGTTAAACTAATCAGTAGGCTTTACTAAAACGTTATAAAATTTTTGTTACAAGAATAATTAAATGAAGTCATTTCCTGTGTCTAAAATGATCAAATATGTTTCTGAAACTAGGAAATGCAGGCTATGATAAAAAATATAGCTATAATGAAACTTCATGTCCTCTTGATTTTATTATAAAATATTTCCTTTTTGCATTCTTAATTCAAAGCAATAAAATGCTGATTTGGTTGAAAATAAAATTTGGAAAAATCCCTGAACTGTAGGAAGCTTGTCACTCTGATGGGTGTGTTACTCACTGGAACAGTATTTCAGCTGTTGGAGCGTACTGAAAGGAATTAGATTTAGCCTTGCCAAACTTTCACTGTGAAAGAGTTTGCTACAACAGTGTTTTATTATATTCTTATTGAACTTCGGCCAGTTGAAAATAGAATCTCCTCACCATCCTTTTAAATTAGCCTTAAACTGCAGAAAAAAGACAAAAATCGATGCTCAAATTTAGTTCTTTGCTCTTGGTTCCTGAAGAAATTTACCCTGTTGCTAATATGCAGGACTCAAAGATCATGGAACAGAGAGTGCCTGGAGTTTTAAAATAGCATTTCTTGCTTAATTTAAGTCTACTTAAGTGTCCACCAAGTCCTGTGCACAAACTGTTCCTTTGATGCCACGGGTTCCACTGAGTCTCCAAACCTGTCACAGTGATGGTGTACTGAAACCATGTCTAGTACAGTTCCTGCGGCCATGAAAAATTGTGGTAAAATTCTGAGTATCAAACTGTAATGAAGGGAATAGTAGTGCCTAAATAATGAGACAGTCTATTTAAATATTACATTTCATTAAGAATTGCAACCCAGCGGTTGGGGCTGGGGCCTAGTGGTAGAGCAGTTGCCTCACATGTGAGGCACTGGGTTCGATCCTCAGCACCACATAAAAATAAATAAATAGATATTGTGTCCATCTACAACTGAAATAATATTTTAAGAAAAGAAAGAATTGTAAGGAGTTTGGAATACATAACATGAAAAAAAAAGAGCACGCGGTATCATTTCCATCAGCTACTCCAGGTTTAATGCTGCTAATCGTCCTAAGAGCTATGGTCTCAGCTCCTAAGTTCTTTTTAGTGAAAAAATAACTAAAAGTGAGCATCTAATTGAGAGGAGCCAACTCAGAGCATCACATCACTGACAGTCCACACACCGCAGGAGGCCTGTCCATCAGGCAGGGGAAAACGGCTTTGCCTGACTTCAGGCACTGATACAGGGAAAGACGTGTCCAGGTACCAGAGACACAGAGCATGAGCTGAGCATCCTGCACAGGCCACCTGCCACTGCACAGTACGAACAGCAAGAAGAGAACAGTCTGATTACCCTCGGAGACTTGGGGCACATGGAAATGGGGCAGTGGAAGCCAGGCAGATCATGGAAGGTTTGCTTTGTTTTCATCACATGGTACCTGCAAGACCAGAAGGGCTGAAGCAGTGCAATTTGCAGAAACCCCAAAAAGTGATGGCTTTAGCATGCCACGGTCCATGCAGTAGAAGCCGTCCCTCCCCAGGGAGGGAGGATCCTCCCAGCACGTCAGGCAGCTGGGCGACAGGCTCAAAGGCCTGAGATGAAGGAGGAACGAGCCCTGCTCCAGGAGTGTTGTCACAATCGATTTTTACTGAAAAAGTAAGTGGGAACAATTGGCCAGAATAAGCCTGAGCTGTAATAGAAAATGAAACTAAAAAAGAAAGATCAGGGCCTTGTTATAAAACAATCCATATAATTCCCTCCACATGGATCCATCTTAAGAAGAGATTCTGAGACCAGGACCCAAGGTGGGGCCTGAACAAGCCTCAGAAAGGTATAGGAGGTCATCGGAACCTGGCTTTTCAAACCCACAGGGCCTCATGCTATTCAACGCCGCTGCTCTCACAACTGGCACTTTTCACTGGGGAGATACCAGCCATTTTTTAGGAAAATTTTAGATGAACTAAAAAATTCTTAAGGAAAAGAACATTTTGAGAGTTCACACCTAAATCAGGGGCCTAGTCCAGAGTCTTATTCCTAGCTTGTAGGATACTGGGAGAAATAACTGTGCTGTCAATGTGCTATCACATAAACTCCGCACTTTAGCCACGGTTGTAGTGGGGATGAACTTCACCGGTGCCAAGTTGGAGGGCAAAATTAAATGTTATGTACCTCAGTTTAATTTCCCGGTTCAGAGGCCTCATGCTGCCTAAGTGGGTGAGTCAGGGCACTTCTCAGTCAATGCAGGTGGGGAACTTGGTGGCATTTGGGTTTAGAGTTCTTCCCTGGGTTTCCTCTCCCACTTCTGACCCCACCCCCATCTAACCAAAGCCCAGCCAAGCACCCCCACTCCCAGGCAGCAGTAGGGCGAGATGCCCATCTCATCTCTTTCAGTCCAGCATAGACAGAAGGCACACAGGCTGCTCAGGTGGGGACAGCCACCTGCTGGCCTTCACTCAGCTGGCACCTCGGCCGGCGGCCTCTGGCATCCCGAGAGCACACGCACACCTACGGCCTCCTAGAATCGCAAATGGGCTCCTGGCCTGGAGTTTGGGCTGTGTGTCCCCTTCTCTGCAGTTTTTCAGATCCCACCCCTTGCACTGAGAACCAGGTATTCCCAGCATAGCTCACTGGCGGCACACGCTGCCAACAGTCTGTAGAGGGGCTGGTCAAATTCCCTCTACTCTCAGATCTCCCACAGATTTCTGGAGGAGTTCCCCATGTTCCCCGCTCCCCGCCCCACCACCCCCACCTGTAATTGGAGACTTTTCACCTCCCTCCTCATGGAGCTGGTGCGTGGAAGACACACCTTGCCTGTCAATGCCCCAGTTGAATCACTACTGTTTTATACCCTCACTAAGAATTTGGGTATTGACTCCACGGGTCCACTTCTAGCCACCTCATCTGGACATATCCTGTCGCATGGCCTACGTGCAGGTGCACATTTCAGCCCCACCTCACAAACTAAAAGATGACAACGTTCCTTGGTATCAACTTAGTTGGCTACAACTCAACCTGGCAAATATTTACTAACCCCCATGCCATTCCCGCCTGCAGGTACCCTTCCATTCCAACTCCTGGTTGGCACAGACAAGGGCATATTTAATGAGATTCCATTCTCCACCCTTCTCAATTTTCACATGATAACTTTATGCTTGTTATTGGGCGCTCTCTCCTTGGATTCTGTGCCACCAGATTCCTATCCCTTGCCTCCCCCCGATTGGCACTGTCTGCTCATCTCCCTTCATCTGCTCTGTGGTTACAGCTGCTCCTCAGTATCGGGGCTCCACACTCTCCTTGGTGACTTCATCTATTTTCACTTTAATGTCAGTGGTCCCCAAATCTATTTTTTCTAAAAGCCCACGGTCTCTTGAACATAAAGCTCATGTTTTCAGCAGTATCTCAGACACCCCAAACTCTGTATGGCCACCTTCCTGAGGCTTTAAAGTTCAGTTTCACTGTCCACCTCCCACACCTACCCTTCCCATTGTATGTCCAGTATTTGTCCACTTCGCCCCCTCTGCTGGAACCTCAGCGCCACCTTGGATGCCACCCTCACCCTCTCCCTTTCTGTCCAGTCTCTCAGTTGGGCAGTGCTGTCTGTGAGGGGCTCTGTCCTACTCCGCTCCTGCCAGTGCCATCACCTGGGTTCAGGACTCTCCTCTTCTCTGCCAGAGTTGTTGGAAAGGCTCCGCTTCCCTCTCCTTACACGCGTCCTCACACTGCCAAGGGTTGCCCTTCTGCACACCAGCTCTCCTGGTGCTGCTTGGAGACGCCCTTTGCCTGCAGAGCCCTGCCGAACTTGCCTGCTGATTTCCCAGCCCCATGCTCCATTTCCTACTTGACCTAATGGGTCTCCACATGCCAAAAAAAAAAGAGGCGGGGGAGTTTCATGCCTCCATGATTTATCAAATCCCTGCTCAGGGTCCTCCCTCCGTCACTGTGGCTCCCTGCAGCCAGCGCTGCCATGCTCGTGGCTCCTGTCGACACCCTGCCCCGTGTTACCTGAAGAGCTAGCTCCCTGGAGGTGGGAACGTTCTCCTATTCACCGCCACGTTCCCTGAGCCCCGTGCAGGCCTCCCTCCCCATAGACACTAATAAATGTCCACCTAATTGTCCTTCTCAGCTGGGTTGGGGTTGGCGTGTTTGTCTCTTCTCCTGAATGAACTTACGGGATCTGTGCACAGAGTCCCCAGGCAGCTCCTGGCTTGCCTCATAACATCTGGAGGACAGGGGCCCTGAGTCCACCGTATGTGTGTGGAAAACCCCCAGAGTTATTTTCCTTGTCTTCTATGCAGTAGATGCTTAGTCAGTATTGAGGTGATTTGCTCTTATATGCATTGTTTTGATGACAGTTGATGCCCTGAGCCTGTGCCTGATCAACAGGAGTGATTACTAACTCGGAATCAAGAAATAGATATTTAAGCCCCTAAAGCTACAGTAGAGGTGACCTGGTCAAGACAAAAATTTGACACCGTTATGCAAAGTAAGCGTGTACTCAGGTTCTTCCAAAATGCTGTTCATTTGTGGGCATTTACCAAGAACAATTAGGGAATGTACACTAGAATCTGAAAAACATCTTTCACATTTTTACCCGTCTTGTTAAGTGATCAATATTTTTTCATTATAAAAAGTCGACATCTTTGTAGCCTAACAAGACATGAGAAGACAATTGTTTAAAAAAAATGGCAAAGACGGTTGGGGAGTGGTGAATGGAATGATACTTCAGAAAACATTTTGCCAAAACAAATTCAAATAGAGATTTAGAATTCATGTAGAAAGCTCCTTTGTACGATCAAAGGAAGCGTCATCCGTGCCGCTGAGTTCCATGTCTAACATAATTTTGTTGGCGAGAAGTCAGGCATGAGATGAGCTGATAAGAGCTTTGCTCACAAATGCATAATAGCTGCAACGGCTAATTCTGGTTTAAGACTGTGCAATTCTGTAAGTGGACATTTAACCAGTTTGTTAGTACAGTATTTTAAGAACCTCTTACAGAACAATGGAGAAAAGAATTACCTATCACCGCTGACCAGGCATTTATTACACAATGCATTGGAGAATAATAGAAGTGGGTTTTTATGCCTTGCTCATTTATTATCTAATACCTTTTAAGGCTGAATGTCATTGCCAATTATTATTGTGGCAAGTGCTCCAATCGACTTTTAGTTTACTGATTGCCATTCTCTCCCACATTCCCTATTATGTGAAACTGTGACACATTCTATTTCATCTTCTATTAGAAATTTTGCACCACAGCCTCCCAGCCAGCTACCTCCATTGGGGTGTCTTTGGGGAGAGATACAAATGAGTTTTGTGAAAGTGTGTTTACACGCAGCCGTCAACCTTCAGCGTCAATAGACAGTCAGCTGCTCCCGGTGCCATGAGCCCACTGCCCGTGACTGACAAGGGCCTGCATTCACTGTCCCTGTTTATGTAAATGCTGGTGCACTGGTCACCCCAGGACATACCGTTGGCTGCTGCTCAGTTCATGCTCGAGTAGTCAGGCTCCCAGGTGGCCCGTCACTTACTTCTGTAGGTTAGATCCGGTAACACCACAAAGCAGTATAATTCATCTAGATGAAGTAGATGCAACAGAATTCAAAAACAAAGATCACTCCAAGCAGACAAGGCCAGTTCAACAGACAAAAGCAGATTTCTCATGCAGGTCTTAATAAAACAGCTGGGTCCAGATTGCACTGTATTCTTGTTCCTTTCCAAATAATTGGCAAATGAAGAAAACCAGCTCATTGCCATCCTCACAGAAAGTTCTTAATCCGCAAGCCTCACCAACAATGACTCTTTAGTGGCCAATTCAGAGGCAGGAGACTTGCCTAAATATAAATAGAATTTCAGATGAAGGCAAAATCACTCCTAACCTAAACCTGAAGTCCCCAAACACCTACCTGTGCATTTGCTCTTCGTAAGGACAGCTGTAAAGACGAGCCCTGGCAGCAGCAGTCTGCCTTGAGCCAAATGCTCAAAAGTAAAGTTTCTGCAGTGAGAACACAGGTCAGGGAGCAACCTGATCAGTGCCAAGGCTGCCCTGGGTCAGGCAGAGCCCCAGGAAAGGCCTGGGCTGTAGAGCAAAGAGCCCCGGAAGAACTGCCGAGGGCCAAGGGTCCCCCTGGAGCTTGCCTAAAGTCCTGCCCAGCAGCCCAAGGGACTTTAAATTCAGGCTTGCTTGTGTGTGAATTGCTTTCTTTAGGTAAAATGACCTATTTTCTACTTCTGACTGGACTTCAATGGTCAAAACTATTTATGAGAATAAAAGTGAATGAGAACAATCAAACCCCTCAGTTTAGAACCCATAGCCCAGAACTGGACCTGGGCACATGTGGAGTGCCTCGTCTTCTGCTCAAGGCCAAGCACGTGTCCTGGAAGGTGACCCCAAAGAGAAGCCGAGAGCCACTCCGCGTTGCCCTCTGACGACCTCCATCCTGCTCTGCCTGTTGCCAATGGAGCCCACAGCAGCCACACCAAGGCACGTCCCCCACTCGTGGCTGCTGTCCCACACCACACATGGCCACCCTCTCAGAAGCAGTCCAAATTAGAAATCCCCACCTACTGTTTGAAATATTAAATCCCCACCTGATATGTAAGATATTATTATTTAGTGGCTTAAAAATGCTGCTCCAATTTAAGTTAGAGAAGGGATTATTAATCAACCCTAGTGCAGGAACACAGCAGAAACCATGAACGAACGTGAACACCATTTCCTAAATCATCTACCTGGTGGTCACTAGTACTGTCAAAGTGCAAAGTAAATAAAATAATAATAATAATTTTTAAAAAAACTAAATTCACCATCTTTCCTTCCATGGCTCCAACCTAATGTCCTCAAATGTCCTCAAAGGTCTGTGAAAGACCCCGCCAGCCTCGCCTTCATGTCTCTCTGGTCCCCCTTCCTTCTGATCTAACTCTCCCGTGCTGGGGAGGGGTCTGTCCACATTTCCTCTCCCCACTCTGGGGCCTTTGCTGGACGCTGGCTTCCCCCTGCCCTCTCTTGCCTGAGGGCCACATTCTGGGCCATCATCTCTACCTTCTGTAGCTCCCCTCCCTGTAGGGAAGGTGCTCACTTAGGTCAAGGTGAGGTGCCTTCTAGCTTTAGGGTTTTACAAGAACCTCTGCTTCTCTCTGGACTCGTGTCTTCCACTCCTCTTGGATGGGATCTGAATTAGACAGAATCAGAGGCAATTCCAACCATCTTTTCTCCCCTCCATAATAGTCTGTCACAGGAAGGGCGTGTTCCCTGGCGCTGGCGTTGGCTGTGTCTTACACCCCTAGTGGACTGTGAGCTCCCTGAAGACAGTCCCACTCCCCTCTCCACGTCTCCCCCGAGCCCGCGCCTGTTGAATTGATTTCAATTAATTCCGTTTGTAACTGAATCAAGCAAGGGATGTCACAAGCTTGCTTTTATAAGTAAAGAAAGCACGGTTGTGCAGCTGTCCAGAGTCTGGGGGATGGGGAAGAAGACAGGGAGAACCCCAGAAGGCAGCTGAGTGCTGGTCAAACCAGGTGCAAGTTGGGCAGCACTGGGCAGTGAATGAAGGAAAATAAGATGCCTGGTGAAACAGAGGACCAGCGCTCTTGCAACGAACCTTAAAGTATTATTTTTACAAAGAATACAAGGAGCATTTCAGCTCCCTTGTTGACTGATTTGTATGTTCTTCCTACAGATACTTTCAGAAAAAGGCCCATTGTTTGTTTTCCTCCTGGTGACACAGTGGCCATTGTTTACAACTGTAATCACAGCGCACATAGCTGCAAATGTGGGCTCTGGGCGCTGGAGCTCCCCCTCTGGGTGTTCAGACAGTGAATACTGTGTTCTTTATCTCTTATCACAGCTCTTTTGTCAAATGTTTCAGGATTTTTCCCCCAGACAAATTTGTAGTTTGTTATCAACCATAAAAATGTCTATTGCCTTGCTTTTAAACATTTAAACTTTGGCATGTATGTCTCAAGATGAGCATGAATTAAGTTGTTATTTCTTTTTAAATACAATTTTTATTGCAGTACACTAAAGCTAGATTTCTTTGATATATACAGCTCGGTGGAGTTCTCTGGAGGCTCCACAAAGGTGTCTATTATTTTGAATGTTTTCACCTCCGAGGGGACATGGTTATGTCTCCCGGCTCCCAGGTGGGGTTTGCAGGAAGCATCTGTCAGACATTGGACAGGTGCAGACACCTGTAACTTTCTGCAGCATGTGGCCATCACTATATGTCCTGCATGGGAAAGCGATGACACCTTCTCCACTCCTGGGATCTCCATTTTTCCAAGTGCTCAAGTCTTCTTACCATTCTGTTTCATAGACCTGACCCGACAGCCTGTGGAAAAGAAAAGCCTTTTAAACAAACCTAATAAATAGCAATGTATTTTCTGGTTCAAAAATCTCAATATGTTGCCTGATGCAGACATTTGAAGCCTTTAACACAAATGAAGGTTTATAACAAAGAAATCCAATAAATCTCAAACACATCAGCATGTAACTTCAGGGCAATTTTAAACTATTCACTTTTTAAAGTTCTATAAAAAGTCTTAATGTGACACTTTATATTTTTATGAATATAAATTTGGGAAATATATTTTGTGTTTTAAACATTTCAGAGAGATTTCCCTTACTGAGATGGGCAGGATGAAAATGAGTGTCAGTCTTTAAGTGCCTCGAGGGAGAAACTCTGGTTTTGTTTCAAATTGGTTTTTGAGAGCAGATTAACCTCTTAAGGGTGAGGTGTGAAGGTCAGCGTTAGGAGTTTTCCAGGTTCAAGGTGTGTTGCATTAATCCCCACATGGATTGTGGAAAACCATCAAGACCCTCAAGGGAAAAATTCTTCCCAGAAGCTGTGGATCAGAAATCATGGAACAGGCAACTCTGAAGAATCCAGACACACTGTGGGCCTGGCAGGGGGCTTGTCGGAAACTGGACGGACAATACTTAGGAAAGATGTGGCCACCTGGAATTTTAGCTGAGGACTTTCATTTTTGTTTGAATCTGATGACTTCTCCTCAAAGATAATCTTTGAAGTTTCTGTATTCAAAGTTAAAAATCTCATCAGCACATTGTAATTGTAATTCCTAAAAGAATTTCACATAAAAAATGTATTTTCAATGTAGTATAAATGTTGAACACGTTGAAAAAAAAAATAGGATCAGACTTTCTCCAATCCATGTTGGACGGGTAGACTCTTCCGTAGCACAGATCCCATTCAGCCACAGAGCAGGCCTCTGGGATGGAGCTCCTGGGTTAGGCGCCCAGATTCAGCGGTCCTTTCTGCGGAAAAGAAGCCATAGCCGATGTCCCTGGTGGCTTAGTTCTCCACTTTGGACTTCCCAGAACTTACTTGGACTCTTCCTTTCTGTCCCTGTCCCTCCTTCCTGGCCATCTGTCTCCATTTCTTTATTTCCATCTGACTGTCCTTCCCCAAGAAGGAAGCCTCAGGTACCCAAGGCTGGCAGTCGTCCGGTTCCTCCATCCAGAGCCACGTGCTGACCACCCACCCAGCAGAAAGCAGGTGGAACTGGTCGTCCAAGCTGGAAAGCAGCCAGAGGTCAGACGTGGTTGGGCGTCACAGCGGCATCCTCCTCCCGCAGAGTCTGGCTTTTCCTTTTTTAGGGTGTGGCTGCACCACACATCCAAACAGCCTTTCCATCAAGGCATCCGTGTCCAAGTATTTGGAGCTACTAAAATTAGTCCTAGCCATTAGAATGTGCTGGCCTGCCTGGCCAGCCTGGCCAGGAGGAATTCGCCTGGCTGTCAACCTGAGCGAGGTTCAACCCACTCCCAGTGTGCTTGTGGCTCCTCCTCTGCCTCTCCCCTCCCTTGCACCCTTTCTTGAACCTCCTGCCGTACTTTCTGGGTCCTCAGTACACCTTGCAGGATAACACATGGGGTGTTCCGAGGGTTTCCCTGGGGCTTGCTGAACAGGGTGCCATGGCTCTCCTGCTTCCTGAGGCCGGTTCTCTTCCTGTGAACCTGGGTTTGGAGTTGACTTGCAGAGGGAGTCCACTTGTGTTGACCTCAGCTCCTACTGGGATCAGAAAGGGCAATGTTTTCAAAGGGAACAGCTGAAGGACTCCATCCACAGACAAGAGAAGCATTGGGATGTCCACCCACTCCAAGGCCTCTCGTCTGGGGTACTCTCAACCTTACAGAGATGCCTGGCCTTTGCTTCTTTTCCAATGTCTTGTAATGAACCCAAGCGAATACTATTGAAGAACATTTAACCTCGTGACTCGCTGACCACAATTCCAAGTCTCTCCCTTGGTTCTGGTCCTACTTACTTCGTAAATCCGACCCTGAAAGCTATTCATTCTGCCCAAAGAGAAAGAGTGCTACATGGCCACCCTCTCCTTTCCACATGTCCTTGTCACTCAGTGCTTTCAATTCTATGTAACGTCTTTTCTAACTGCAAACGTTTCCCCTCATTTCCTGAGAACACACGTTGGAGACATTTTACAATCACAAAGGAGAAGGCAAGGGAACCCAGGGACACCTGAGGCCTCCTGGCTGGGGAGGTGCCTTCAGGAAGGCCTGGCCTCCCGGCCCTCCGCTGTCCTTCCCCCACGCTGTGTCACCACACTACTTTCCTGCCACATCCGGCAGTGGGAATTCTATGCCTGAAGACCCCATTTGGTCTCCGCACGACCATGTTCCCCCTGAAGGAAGGTCTCTCTGTCCCCTCTAAAATTGTGTCTAATGTTGCTCTCGGTGCTTCTGGCTCCTCAGATCCCATCTTCCTTCCCAGCCTCTCTGTCCCTGGATGGTGCTGGTGACTCCTCCCTGGCCTGCCATGGCTTTTGTAGACATCCCCTCCAGCTCGAAACCTCACCCCCTCCCCCCTTCTTTCTCTTCTTCCCTCTCCCTCTCCTCTCCCACTCCGACTCTCAGAGCATGGAGTAGAAAGACTTCCACGTGTTTGATTCCCAGTTTCCTCCCAGTTTGCCTCAGGATCCCATCTAAAGCAGCCTGGCCAACATCAAATCATCCTTGTCCTCTTCGGGCTACGTAAGAACTAAGTGGGAGCATTCTTATCGCCGGAGTTGGGAGTCAAGCAGGGTGTGGCCCTTGATAAGCACCTTAGGACTGCAATAAAGGAGCACTGTGGTGACACACTGTCTCCCCCACGGACCTGCCCTTCCCTGGCCCACAGAGTCTTGCCCTCACCGTGACCACTTACTCCCCTTTCCCCCAATGTCCACTCACTCCCAGGCCTGTCGTCTGGGGTGCTGGGACTCTGCCAACAGCCTTACCTGATGTTGCGCCGCAGGCTCCACACTGGCCTGAGCCTCAGGGATGAGGAGCTGGGAATACGAAACCTGCCCCGACAGGAACCAGGGCGGCATTCGGCAGAACGCCCTGAGTGCATGACACAGGGCACTCTCGGCTTTCGGTGCTGGCTCAACTGGGGTCTTCCTTATGACCGTGACAAAGTCTTGCAGTGGCATCATGGAAGCACATGCAGTTGTCTATTACATTCTGCAGTCAGAGAAAAAAGAAGCCAGGAAACAGGCGACAAAGGAATATTCCTGTACGAATCTCAAGACCTGTCGGTGTTAAAGAGAGAGACAGGTGGACAGCTGACACATTGATAGTTCAATAGACAGAAAACAAACAAAACTTTGAACTTGAAATGGTTAAGATAATTCCCCTTCTACTAGGGAAAAAAGCCCACATTTGATTAGAAGATTTTTAATTTTTTACAGCAAGAAGCTTCCCCTGCAGACCCAGTTACAACTGGCTTTCTGCAGGCACCGACCCGTCTCCATCTCCGTGGACATGCTGGGCTGCTTTCGGCTGTCTCAGGAGCACAACTGTATCCTAAAATCACCTTTGGCTATAAAAGAAGGGAAAACTCCCATCTGTAAAGGCTTTTGTCAAGAAGTGTGTCATCAAAATAGAGTCCCATTCACCTGCTGTCCTTAGGAGGCTGGCAGCTAGTTTCCATCCTTATTTTAAATTTCCTCTTTACCTTCCTCTTAAGGGAATTGACAAGGGACCAATTCAGAGCGAGGCCTATCTTATCTTTGAAACCTGGCTGCATCCCAATAGAAATTTAAAGGACTAGCTTTCCAGCCCATGTCAGAGACATACCAAAGCAATGCCCCGTGTGACGTCACAGGCGGCACTCGCAGGAGGAGCAGCAGCGGTGCCTGAAGACATCTCGGCCTCACTGGCACCTCACTGGAGCCTGAGGCTCCCCATTCCACACCAAGATGCTCTAATGCACTGGGAAAATTGGAGTTAATGTAAAACTTTTATCCGGAATATACTTTCCTTTATGAAATAGCCACTTGGATCTGCTACTGGTTACATTTTCACCAAATGACCAGAACTATTTGTTCACTAAAGTGACTTTCAAATTTTTAATGTAATTCACATTGCTTGTTTTGATTGTGAGAAATGATTTTTTGCTAATATAGTAAGTCAAGGTAGCTCAGTAAGTTAACAAATATTATCTTTAGAGATAGATCATTCATCATTTATTCAAAAAACAGTATCAAATACACAGACTGTAATGACATGCAGCAGCTTCGTCTCTGCAGAGAACTTCCGCCGCCGTGCATGGCTTACTTCTCAGTTGTGTGAGGTGGATGGGCTCTGTGTCTTCACCTCACCTGTGATGAAAGTCAGGCTCAAAGCTGTTAAGCACCTTGCCCCACGTCTCTCAG